CGTAGCACACGGTAGCAAGAAAAAAAGTGCGCCCAGACCACGGGACACTCTTTGGCTTCAGTTTACAAACCCCCGCTCTAAAGGGAAAAGAAAAAAAACACCCCTCACTCGCCACCACCTCTCACCTCGACACCCCCCCGGCCCCCTCCCAACGCTCTCGCCGCCGCCGCCGAGGCTGTTGCCCCGGTGCGCCCCGGCGAGGCATTTTCGCACCACGCCACTTCGCGGAGAGGGAGCGAGATAACCGCGCGGAGGGATCTGCGCGGAGGCGAAGCCGCTTCTCCCGTCGAGACTCCTCACTCTGTCCGGAAGATGCCTCCGCCGGCCTTAAAGGGGGCCTATAAAGCCGCACCGCCGGGGCTCGCCGTGCCCCGCGGGGGCCGAGGGTATGCTGGCCGCGGCCGGCGTTGCGGGGGCGCCGCAGAACCTTACACTTAGGGGGAGGCAGGAAGGCTATTCCCAGGAGGCTGTGGAGCAATTGACTCCCTACCTTTGCTCCCGAACAGCCCCTCAGAAATTGGCCATGGCTTTTGCACCTCTCGGACACCCAGGCGCCGCCTAGGGAACGTGGGAAAGCAGTGTAGACAGACTGGATTGTACATCTGGGTTAGGTCAATCTGAGTGGTTTGATTAAAGACCACAAGTGCGACCCCAAAACCTGGCATTATCAAAGCAAATCTAAGCCCTTCTTTTCCAGACAAGCGGGCCTTGTGGAAATGAGATGTACATTTACCCTTGACGCATTGCACGCCTGGTTGAGGCTCCCAGGTTAATTGATATTTAATGGAAATCATGCCCATGAATATAGTTTCCATCATTTCACCCTTGATAGACGTCAGCACCAGGCGCAGGGGGGAGGCTGAAGAATGTGGTTGGAGCGGGGAAGGCATTACCATTGCTGAGGGAGTAAATAGAAAAGTGGACAGAAATGTCCCATAGGTGGGGAGGAGGACTCACGGTGGGGTGGGTGGTATTTCCTCGAGCAGGACGCGCGGCTCCCAGGTCTCAGACCCGGCGCGGAGCGGACTAGGGCAGGAGGTAGCCCCGGGCGGAGCACAGGGAGCGATGCCCTCGAGTCCCCCACGGAGCCTCACTGCGCTCAGATCCCGCCGGTTCCAGGCAGCTGCTGGCGGCGCCCTTCTGCTAACGAGTTTAGTTCATCCGCCAAGCCTGTGAAATTACTGCCGAAAGCGGGTTTTGGGTTGAGATGAAAAAGTCACTAATTTTTCCAAAAGGAAAGAGAAGGCTCATGCTAATTTGTGAGCGATTGGGAAGAGAAACGTCTCGAGTCTTGTGGGCAAATTCAGCGTGAATCGGCAAAATATTCCTGATTTAGAAGCTCGCTTTGAAGTCGCCTGGCATGACAACAACCGCCTTCTCTTTTCATTCCCCCCGCCAATCTCGTTTTTTCCCTCTCTACTCCGTTTTAATATCCAATAAATGTAATAGGTCTCTGTTGAGTGCATTTCCCCTCGCCTCCTCGACCTTTTTCCTGAGCTGTTTGGGTGCCTGAGCCCCTTTCCCTTGGGAATAATTCATTCTGAGGGCGCCAGGCTCACCGGCCCAGAGCCCACCGAGGACGCTCCCGCTTAAGTTAAAACACACCACGCCGGCTTTTCAGCTAAATACAAATGTCTAAAAACCCCAGACAGTCTTCCCAAAGGCACACTAGGCGTGTGATTTCAACTACTCCTTACTCCTTGTCGGTTGGCCCAGCCTGTAAGTGCGATCCTTCCAAGTCAGTCCGGGTGGACTGAGTATCATATTTTGCAAATGGAGAAAATAAGGTCGAGATGAAAAGGTACAAGATAATGTCTAACACTCTCCCAATTGTTTCTACAGGGAATAGCTGAAAATGTTTAAGGTAAAGGGATTGCTAATGAGTCTCCAGATGAAAAAAGCCTGCTTTCTTTAAAATTTAAAATCATAGGGAAAGCAATAGACTTGCATTGTAGGTGTGGTGGAGGGTAGACTTTTTTGTTCTTGTTTTCTGCGGGTTATCGCCAGGTAGAACTTTTCTTAAATCCCAAGGCGAACGATTCTGACAGTTTATGATTTGTACTTCAATGTTGCAAACACCCACTAAAAGAGTATTATTTTCAATAAAGCCTTGGGACTAACTATATAATTGCTTCTTTTTATTTCACTGTGGTATGTGTGAGTGTGTGTATTTAAACCCTCGATAAATAAGTGGGTTTGGTAATACAGTGGGGAAAAAGAAGAGCCATCTCAGATCTCAACAATACAAGGCACCTTCTAGAACTGTGTGATTCCTGGAGTGCACAAAAGAAACACAAACACTACAAAATTCATTTCTACACATTCTGGTCCAATTAAGAAAACATTACAACACAACATTTCTTTTGGGACAAAACAGGTAGTACTTCTTTTCTCCCCCAAGTGTTCTGTTTATAATCTGAATGGAAAAGGTCCGCGATTAACTTCGTAAATAAAGATCTATGCTTTTACGCATTTTTGTTTTGGTAGAATGCATTACCTCAACCGTAACACTTTATAGTTTCAGCTGTGCCATACTCCAAATTTTCTGAAATCCTGACCAAGCCAAAATTTTATACCTAACAAATACGGCTGCACATTTTAACAGTACATATTGTTTCTTTTTGGTGAAATGTACCCTAATTTGGGATTAAAAATAAAATCGTAAATATTTTAATCAAAATTTTCCTCCTCCGCAACTCCAGGTTTACGAGATCGCAAAGTGGAGCAACGGCGCTCTCTAGTGGCCACCTCGAGCCCACCGAGCTTAACTTTTCTTTTTTAGACTGAAACCAATTCCAGTTTTGTTTAGTTTAACAGACTTGGATACGCTGACACTAATAACGCTTCATTCCTTTGATTGTCAACAAGTCAAGTGCAGCAAACAGGGACTCCTGAATGCCAGAGATATTTGTGCTCCCAAGAGTTTCCAGTAGTGTCGTTTTCAAAAGCTTCCAGCCCTTCTTTTGCCAGACACAATAGGTCCCCATTCTGTAATTGCCCGCAATTATAGGAGGGGCTAGATTTAACAAAAAATCACAACTTTCTAAATTTCAACTGCAACGTGGCTTTTTGCAGAGGAGCCAGGCACTTCAAAAGCTAAAAGATCACAGATTTAATTATTTTCTTTCAAAGCCGCTACTCTTTAAGTATTAAATCATGAATATTTGCTATTTTAACTTTGTAATGTTAATGCTTCAGTCCCATTTCACAGGCCAAATAAGGGGGTTGGGGCCAGTGGAAGGGACAGAAGCCAAATTAAAAGCTTTTGCTGGATCTCTGGGTTGCTGTCTCAAAAGGCCCTGTTGGATTATGCTCATTGGAACACGGATGCACAATAAATGAGATTTTAAATTTATATCGTCACAGAATGAAATATTTTGACTAAGTAGTCTACTTGTTTTCTTTTTAAAACAAAGACTTTAATCAGTTTAGATGTTTCCTGTGAGGTTAATTTTTTTCTTATTTTCAAAAATGCTTTTTTCCAATTCAGTGTAGAGACAGTATTTTCTATAAACAAAACGATTTAATTTCCAACAACGTTTTTGCTGTAAAATTTGGAGCGAAGGGCCAGATATTTTCATGAAGGGGCACTTCAGTAACTTTATCTTTTCCTCATGGGATTAGGAGACCCTCGGCCTGAGTAAATGACCCAAGATCGCTAACTCTCCCACCCCCAAATAGTACAGGCCAATTTTTTTTTAAAGAATATCTAGATCGTGGCCATAGTCAAATACTATAAAGAACCACCAACCATAGCTAATTCTAATAGTCTTCCCACTTTAAAAATCAGAAATACAGCATTTCCTTCCTACTGCACTTCCTATTTCTTAGTTCCTAGGTGCGCTCACACCTCTCTGGGGGCTCCCAAGCCCCTGACTTCTTAGTCCAACGCAGTCCTGTTTATATTTTATTGTCCAGATTTTAAGACCCAATTTTGTCTGCATTTTTCCTTTCCTCCCACAAACACAAACATCAAAATGAGGCGGTTTCAAAGCGAAGCGCCGGGCCTGTCGTAAACTCATTACTTCCAGACGTCTCGACGGCTCAATGGCTTTATGACACCTTGGATCTTCCTGTTTTCAAAGAGTCCTAGGTATCGGGCTGGCCGCAGGGGTGAGGGTACGCATCACCTTCTGCCGGATCTGGGCCTTGGCTTTCCCTCCGAGGCCCCCTGTTTTACCTTCAAGTCCCCTTTTTCATCAGGATCCCCAAGTCTTGGCTACTGCCCTCCCCCAACCCCCCTTCCGCCCGGGCCAGGCAGCCAGACGCCACAGTCTCTCTGGCCGGCAAAGGCTGTGCTGGGCCCAGAACCTTCACTTACAATGACCTTCATTTTAGCCTCTGAATGCAGCCCTCAGAGGGCCACGCTGGGGCTAAACATGCACAGAAACTGGGTGGGGGTTAGAAGACTTGGGGTGGGGTAGCTGCGGAGGGGAGCCTTGACCATTTTGATCTGCTAAGACCACTTTGGGGCTCCCATGGGGAGGAGTAAAAGCTCACCGTCAAACCAGCTCAGCCCTCCCGGAACTAGCCAGCCCCTCAGATCTGTAGGAGTTACTCCAGAGTGCAGAGGTGGCCTTTCCCTTGTTTTGGAGAGAGGTGGTGGTGGTAGGGAGTAGATGGCTGGGATTCCTTAGGCAGACGGAGTCGTGGGGTGCCATGTGCAAAGCACCAAGGACAGGGTGCATGTCTTCTGGGGCCCCTCAGCTTCGCTGAACACTGCTGCTTGGCTGACAGTGGGCACAGGGCACAGTTTGCCAAGGTGCTAGAAGCAGGCTGGAAGTGGGACTGGGCTGCCAAGGGCATCCGAGGGGCTGTGCTCTGGGCTCAGTCTGGGCACACCAAGGGACACTCAGAAGCATATCAGTGACCCCTCAGGTGAAAGCGCCCATATATTTATCAGTGTCAGCCCTCTCAGGGTTGGGATAGAAGTCCCCTGAGGGGATATTTTGCACAGACAGAGAAAGCAAGCACACAACATTCAGGGCCAGCATCTGGTCTCCATTTGATCAGGTCAGCATTTATTGGTAGGAAGCGATAACATTTACAACTGGGTCCTCAGGCAGGAACCTGGAGGGCTTACACCCACAGCTGCCCATTCCAGCTGAGCCCTTCTGGGAAGAGAGAGGCTCCTCTGGTGCACTAGAATAAACCCACTACCCAACAGAAGGCCCTGGGCTCCTCTCTCAGCCTCATTTCAGGTCTCAGTCAAAGGTCAGCGGGCTCCCTGAGGATAGGGGCTTTCATAACCAGTGGGCAACCTGGCTGGGCCTCAAGCTGGGCAGGCCTCTGCACTGTCTTGCCTCTGCCTTCATTCCCAAAAGTGGGGCGCCCTTGGCCCCTGCTTGAGCAGCACCGGGGGCTAAACTACAGCACTTCTCAGACACAGAGGGAACATTTACACAGGAGAGGACTCCTGGAGCCAGCGTGCACTCACAAAATATAGCATTTCCTAAGGAACCAACAGGAAAGGAAAAGGAGGAAGCGGGAGAGGGCAAAATCCCAGAGCCACTTGGGCTCTCCAACACATAAGCAGGCAAATACAGAGTCCCCAAATACTTCACAGAGACCAACCACACCGTCACTTCTACCTGAAAAGGAAAAGAAATGTCCCAGTTGCTGGAGAGTTTCTGGAAATCAAGCACCCACAAAGAAAAGTCCCCGTTGCCTTCGCAAAAGCAGAACGGTTCCGCCAGCGCCCAGCTGGGTCAGTCTCCTTTGGGGCATTTCTCCTTGCTCATCTTTTTCATTTTCATCCTGCGATTCTGGAACCAGATTTTGACCTGTCTCTCTGTTAGGTTCAGAATCCTTGCCACCTCGTAGCGCCGGTCTCGGGTGAGGTACATGTTGAAGAGGAATTCCTTCTCCAGCTCTAGCGTTTGATATTTGGTGTAGGGACAGCGCTTTTTCCGGGTGGAGCGAGCATGGATCCAGTTTGCTGCAGGGTTGTCTATGAAGGGGGGTGTCGAAGAAAAGGATCAAGAGGCGGAGGGGAGGTAGGGAGAGAAGGCAGGGTTGGGGAGAGAGGTCGTTAAATTAATTTCACCAAGGATGGGCGCTTCTCACAACTTAGGGGGGGAATTATCATAAAAAGCCTTAATGCCCTCGCTCTGTTTACCGTACACACCGCGCGCCCAGGGTAGATCGTTATGGGAAGTTTTTTTATGGTTGCGTGTTGCTCGCCTAGGCTAGGGTAGGCGTCTAGACGTTTTTATAGGTTAGTAAAACTATCAGTTTTGCACATTCGAGCCTTACGGGTTTCAGCAATAAATCAGGGGGCAATTTCTTTTGCACTTACTTGGGTCAAGTTGCTGCGGCGGCGGCTGCGGCTGCGGCGGCTGCTTCTCCTCCTCCTTCAGCGGGCAACTCGGGCTTGGGTGGTCGCTGCAAGCCGAGGGCTCCGATGAGCCGCTTGCCCCGGACCCGGACCCGATCCCTGCCCCGGGCCCGGTTCCCCCAGCCGCCGCTGCCGCCTTGTCCCGTAGAAACGGGTTGCACGAGAACTCGGGGCCGCCGCTCCCCTGGGACTCCCGGGCCGCGGAGCACTCAGTCCGTTTGGAGGAGGAAGACGAGGAAGTGGAGGAGGAGGTGGAGGCGGCGGCGGTGGCGGCGGGGGTCGGGGCCGCTCCGGATTCAGGCTTAATCCCGTAGTGGTGCCCGTTGTGTGGGCCGCTGGGACCGGGGCTGGGACCAGGGCCTGGGCCACTGCCGCCGCCGCTGCCGCCGCCACCCGCGCCGCCCGGGAAGCTGGGCAGCGGCTCCATCCAGGAGCGCATGTAGCGGCCAGGCTCGGAGGCGGCGGCAGCCAGGGGCGGCGGGGGCACGTACGGGTGGTAGAGGCCGCTCATCGCTGCCGCCGCCGGGGGCTGAGCGGGCACCGCGGACCACGAGGCAGAGAACACGGCCGATTTGGGGGCAAAACTACACGAGGCAAACTCGGCGGCGGCGGCCGGGCTGTCGGCCACACCTGCGGGCCTGCCCTGTGCGCCTGGCCCCGGCGGTCCGAAGCGCGCGGCGAACACCTCGTCGCCCTCATGGCCTATGAGCGAGTCCACGTAGTAGTTGCTGAGGGTGCCACTGGAGGACATTTTGAGGCGCCGTGCGCTCCCACCCAAGGTTACACTGCCCGCCGCGGAGCAGCTCCCCGCCGGCGCCGAAGCCGCCGACTAGTTCGCAGGCTGCAGCCTCCACCATTGGTCGCGCGGCCCACGTGATCATATTTACCAATACCGGGAGTAAATCAGTCCGCTAAACTGGGGGCTGCTGTGATTTAAGAAAAAAAAAAATCATCAACATAAGCGCCACAATTAGAGCCCGCGGGGCCCGGCCCGTGCGCTGAGCTCGACTCGGCCTGGCTCGGCCAGCCCGGCGGCGGCTGGGACCACTCGTCCGACAGCGGCCAGTGGAGGCGCTGGGGACTATTTGTTCGCCACCTCTTGCTGTTCTGGGTTTTGCAGCCTGGGCACTGGCGCTGCGTCCCCAGAGCCTGGAATCCAAGCTACAGCCTGCCTCGTAGGCCCACCAAGCGCTTGGCCAGAGCCGGGAACAGTCGGGGGCAGGCTGGGCCGGTGAGGCCCGAGGCAGGCCTGCCTTCAGATCCGGCCCCCTGGCGCTCGAGGGGAGTTTTTCTCCCTGTGCCGCTCTCCCGACCCAAACCCAACCCCTCCCTACACATCCCCACACACACACACTCTCACAGCTTGTCGTGTTGTTTAAAACAGGTGGAAGACCTCTGTAATGATATTATGCCTTTCAATAAAAATTTTATGAGGTGTATTTGATTATAGATTAATGTGTCCCTAATAAAACGGACGGATGGAGCAGCTTGGAGGGCCCCCTCCTTTACCACACTCACACACGCCCGCTCAGCCACACACACCCCCGACGTGAGGCTGAGCACACGCCGCGGCCCGAGGGGTGAGCTGGGCGGCCTGGCCCCGCGGGCTGGGCGCGGCGGCGGCGGCGCTGTCTGCCCTCGGAAGGGCGGGCAGGCTGGCGAGTCGGCTCCAAGAAGACAGTTGCGGTCATGGTGACTTGTCTTCTCCGGAGCTGCTGGAAAGACCCTAGAAAAGAACAGGCCATAGGGCAGAACCCAAATGCTAGCGCAGGCCCGCTCCCGCCCGCAGCCCCGACCCTGCCTTTGGTCAGCGGGAACCACATCTCCCCCGGGCCGGCCCGCTTCGCGTGGTTGTCATTGGGGCACGCCCTTCCTAATTCTCTCTGTCTCTATTTCTGCCTCCAGAGGTGAGACTAGGCAGCCTTGAATCTGTGGGAAATACCCATTGTCACTCCCAAATCCATGGTACAAAGCCTTAGAAACCCGGCTGGGGGCTGAGACAAAAGCAGCCTGGACTCAGGAGGTGGAAGATACATTCTTCGCTACAAGTTGCCCAGCTCACCTTTGAAGGACTCCTAGCTCACCTCAAGCCCAGGAAAGGAAGGGGAAATGGCTGCTTATGGCCTGACTGATTGCTTTTGCCAATGGCTTTCTGATTTTCTTCCAGAGGACCTGCTTTGCCTGTAGCATGGTGTTTCTACCGAGACATGTCCACGGTCGATGTCTAATGCGGCACCCCACAACACGGGAGGAAAATGGAAAAATTTTCGTCCTTCTTTTGCTGCCCAACTAATGGCCCTTTGGGCAAATCTATTTCAGTGTTCCCAACCTGGCAGTGATTCCTAGCCATCTTTCTCCCACCCTTAGGAAATGGCTCCCCTAAAAGGTTCTGTGTTGGAAATGGGGAAGGTTCTTGGTTCTCAAGAGGAAGTTAAGTTTATTCCAAGTTGGAATAAATACTGAGTCTCTGAAAGACTCCCTGGATGAGGGTTCTAAGGCTTAGAGCCCCTAAGTAGATTTTTAGGAAAAAACGAAAAGGACATGTTTTGTAGAGCTGCTTGAAGCTGATGGAGACCCTTTGAAACCACAGCATGATCTGGGGTAACGAATTCTCTGTCAGCTCGCTCCCCCTCAAGGCCTTTTCTCCCTTCTCCCTAGCAGGACTAGAAAAGTCTGGACTCTTTTGGGGTGCAAATGCTATATATTACACCCCCCGCATGCACGCTCATGTGCACGCGCGTGCACACACACACACACACACACACACACACACACACACATATACTGGTGAAGGCTGCTGCCGCTGCTGCTGCTGGCTGGAGAGTTTTCAGGGCCATGCGGTAGCTGAAACATTGGACTTCATGGGAAGTCATGTTCACTTGCAAATTCTTTTAGTCACCCTTTGTACATTTGCATCCCAGATACAGTGACTCCAGCCAGCATGTTGTAATTAAATCGAATTAATTGGGAGAAATCTTTTCTTCCTTTAAAAAAATTTCATGTCGGCCACTAAAAGGTAATAACTGAGCATAAAATCCTTCTACAAGGAAACCAGGGCAAAGTGGAATGGGAAAACTCACCCATCCTCGGCTTCACTGTAGCCTGGCTTTCTTGTGCTTGGGATGGGGGTGTGTGAGGGAGAGGGGAACAGAACTGGATCCGATGTAATGCTAAGCTGCTGCTTGTCCTTGCTCCTGTAATGGAGGCCCAGTGGCTTCCAGGTGGGCAAGACTGGTTTCAATCCAGCCCATGAAGATGATACACCATCCAGAAATCACCAGGACCCCACTGAAAGCATTAAAAATAATACAACCAAAACCAAAGAGAGGAAGACACAGTAGGGAGTTCAAGGGAAAAACAGTTTGGGCACAGACTGACTTACCAGGCTCAGACTCCAGTGAAGCTCACACCCATTGAGAACTCAATTATGTTACTCTCATGCGAATGCAGGACTGCCCTTAACTATGAAAACAGCACACCCAGGCTGGATTATCGCTCCCCCCACCACTGCCAGATTTCAGTGTCCTAAGCCTCTTCCATCTCCTTTCCCTCCTGTCTGTCACACCCGGCCCCCAACAAAAGCAGTTTAACAGGAAGATAATCTCACCAAAGGCCTTCATTTCCACTGTAACATATTTCCATTTCAGAAAGCAGAGGGAGCGAACTCGTTTCCAGAGTTTATTGCATCATACATGCGACCAGAACATGCACAGAAAGGACAGGTTGCTGTTGTAATTCTACCAAACCACAGATGCACCACAAGGTAAAGGCTACAAGGCATAAATCGTCAATATTCCATCCCACCAAAGACAATTGCTAAATTCATTTGCAAAAAGATACATTGTAATGTGCTTTTTTAGTTTCCCTCCCCCCAAAGCTTGTGAGTTTCCTTAATCTTTTTTTTAAATATATATGTAATTTTAGTACTTTGAAGTACTGGATGTATTCAAAAGGCCATGAGCTCATGGACTAACCACACACACACATACAGACCCTTTTGTGTTAGGAAAAACATGAAAAAGTCACATTGCTGGATGATGAATGGATTGATGGATGCTCTACAGTTTCAATAAGTTAAGACCCAAATGAAAATGTGCAGTAATAGTTACCCTGCATTACGATGTAAAAATAATAAATAACACGTGCTAGTTTTTTAATATATATATACTCAGGGATTACAGATCACTTGCAGCACGAACAGAATGACCCCAAAGTCACATCTAGCAGGAAAAACAAAACAAAACAAAACAAAAAAAACAAAGAGCAATGAAGGTTTTGTTTCCGCCTTCCCAGTCCTCCAGCATTTGGCCCTGGAACGCGGTGCCCTCTCCGATCCTGGCCTCTGACGGGCCTCGGACCTAAGAGAAGGTGAGGTTGGCGGTCAATTCTCGGATCCGGTTCTCTCGGCTCATCTTCTTGAGTTTCATTCGGCGGTTTTGAAACCAAATCTTGACCTGCCTGTCGGTGAGGTTAACGCTCTTACTGATCTCTAGGCGGCGCTCGCGGGTGAGGTACATATTGAACAAGAACTCTTTTTCTAATTCCAGCGTTTGGTGCTTAGTATAAGGGCACCTCTTCTTTCTGCCACTCTTTGCAGTGAGCCAATTGCTGGTTGGAGTATCAGACTTGATTTCCTCTAACAAAATTAAAGGGAGAAGAAGAAATAAAATCAAGATTTTTTTTTCTTTCAGTCTGTTCAAATGTACCCTTGGCCATGACCCTGCTGGCAGCCAGGCCGCTTTGGGAAATGTTGGTATTAAACATTACTCACATGCGGTGGGACCTGGAAAGGGATTTGTAATTGATGCCAGATTAGTTTAAATGCCCAAATGACATGATGGGCGGATACTCTCGCCCTGCTATCAGAGTCCTCTCTCTTTCTCTCTCAACTTTCTGACCTGCGCAAAACATTAGTACAATAATAAACTTTCAGGATCTCCCCAGCAACATTCTAAATGGTCAGCTTATAACAGGACTGGAGTGGAAGAAGCAAGCCACAGCCTAAACCAGCGTAACAACCCCACTGCTGTCTCAAGTCACCAAGTCTGCCACTTCTTCCCCACTTCTCCTAGGCAGGCAGGGAGCCCCTTAGTCAGGTTTATAAGTGTCTAATCTCTTTCAAAACATAATCGAGGAACCAAGTAGACCACCACTCTGGGCATTGTTGTGATCCCTGGAATGTCCTGACTTCTCATGCCTTTTTGCCCCCCACAAAAGCATTCCTCCAGAAATGTATCTCTTTGCAGTGGCCCACCTCTGGGCACTGGGAGAGGCTCAAGGGCAGGGTTTCTTATCAAAAAGCCAGAGACCCTGGCTCTTTGCTCTTACCCAGCCCTAAGCCTGGCCCTGCTACTGTATGGGCCATACAGAGTCCATTCTTCCCCCATCCCTTCCGCCTTTGCCCCCTTTGCAAATGGATTGCAAAGCTTGCGGTACTTTGCCCCAGACAAAGCCAAGGTTACCTAATCCCGCAGAGGCCAGAAGCCCTGTTCCCCCCGCCCAGGCACCAACCTGCCAAGCCATCTCGTTTCCCTTGCCTCCCCCAAGCTCGCAGGATGCGGGGTACATACACTTAAACACAAACACGGTGCCTTGGACTGCATTAAACATCATCATTGGATGAAAGGAAAAACTGGGACTGCAAATTTGAGCATAAGAAAGGAGGTTCTAGGGCCATTTAGGAGCCGCAGGTTTCATTTGCTCTCTTTTGTTGCAATTCAGGTCTAGCTCAGGAAAAATAACCCCGGTCAGCCCTTCCTTTTCCCCGGGCGCCATCAGCGTGGGGCCAGGACTAGCCAGGAGGGTCAGGGCAGCCTGGGAGACGCGGAGACTATCTCAGGACTGAGACTGCCACTCTAAAAGCTGAGAGGAGCAGCACCTGCCAGTCGCACCCGCCTCAGCTGCCCGGGCTCAGCGCTGGGCACCCAAGGCGCTCCCTTTTTGCCGGTTCCCGGGCTGCGCACCCCGCTGGGGTGGCAGTTCTGCTCATACCGACCTTTGCTTTCCTTCTCCTGTACTTCAGGACTGGACACGGAGACCTCAGCCAGGCAGCTCCTCTCTTCCGGAAGGCCGCCCTTGGCCTCGGGGCTCTCCACCTGGGAGACTTTGGTGGGCTCTTGGCCGCTTGAGGGCTCGTTCATCTTCTTTTCCATCTGCAGCTGGGCGGCCGAGATCTGCGGCTTGGCCGCGCCGCGAGGGTTGAGCTGGAGCATGACTGTGGAGCTGCCTTCGGGGCTGTTATTGTACTCTTGGGTTTTCCCGGTGGCGTAGGTCTGACTCAGTCTAAAATATCCAGGGACAGGAACCTCGGGGTTCTCAACGGGACAGGACTCAGGGACCAGCCTCTGGTACGAAGGGACCTCGGCAGAAATGAGTTTGTTGCGCTTATCAGAATACATGCAGCAATTGGATTCTTCCTTAATGTTGGTGGTGAAGGAGCAAGTGGGGACTTGCTGTGTAACAGGTTGCTCTATTCGACAAGATCTGTTCGGGTCTGTCCAACTGTCTACTTGAGGTATATAAGGATGCACATTCATACCCATATTTTGGTGGTTCACTTCTCTTTTGGCCAGAGACGGGAGCAGTCCACAGGTTTGCATTCCATAGGTCCCCATGTCTGCGCTAGGTGGTGGCATGTACATGCTGGCGCTGCTCGAATAAAAACTGTCACTCCTGCAGGCACTGATCAAGGAATCTACTAAAAAAGTATTAGCAGCAGGAGAGCTGTTGGGAAAGGACATTTTGGGGAGGAATTTGAAGAAGAGAGATTGTGTCCTTTGTAGGCTGACATCTCTAGGAAAACATTCCCCGTGTAATTGTGGATGCCTCTGCCGACCACATGACAACCAAGCCAATGAGATTTGAAAATGGCCTTGAGCCGCAGCCTCCTCTCAGGTCACGTGCTCCAGAGCCCGGCCGGCCGGTCGCGTAAGCGCGGACAACAGCGACATCTACTACGCGCCCGAGATAGTGCGCGCTCGAGACAACCAGCCCGGCGCTCTCAGCCGTCCGCCCGCCTCGCCGGGGCTCTTTCGGCCCGTCCGCGCCACTCGCGTCCCCCGCTCCGGCGTCTGGCCCCGCAGGCGGAAGGAAAGGTTCGGCCAGAGGGCCGTCCGGCAGGACACGCGCGGGCAGGGAAGCCGGAGCGCCCTGGCGCCGGCACACAGAAGCGTTCCCTGCACACACCCAGGCAGAACGCGCCCGAGAGGGCCGGGGCCCGGGCGGGGGGCGGGGACCCGGGCGGGTTATTTTTGTCCCGAGCAGCCTGGGAAGGTGAGTCGGATTCCCGGGCCCTGACACATCCCACCCTACAGGTCCACAGGAAAAATCGCTCTAGCAGAGATGCCGTCAAGGTGTCCTAGGGAGCGGGGGCGAGAAGGGCCACGGGGGCCGAGAGGCCATGCAGCTGGCCGGCCCCGAGTCCCGAGGTCCCGGCCGGCCCCGGCGCTGTCCTCTCCCTCGGCCCGCCCGCCCTGGCTTCAGGCCCCTCTCTGCCCCGGTAGGCTGCCGCCCGGAGCCTTCAGCTCCCCGAGGAACCGCGCCCCGACCTGTGCTGCCGGGCCGCTGGGAGCTCTCAGCCGGGAGACGATCCCTAGCCAGCAGTTCGCTATCCGCGAAAGCGTCCCTCGGGTTTCCAGCGAGAGAACGAAACCGATGTTTCCCTTTCCACACACACTCTGATAATAGCGGGCAAAGAGGAAGGAAGGGAGAAAGAAAATGATTTTTTTCAAGGAAAAGGGAAATTTTTTCAAGGAAACTCTCGACCTCACACTCCAGAAGTTTCAGAAAACTGTCTGGGCCAAGCAGAAGAGAAAGAGATGCAAAGGTGTCATTTGGTTCTTCTGCAAAGAAAAATATGTTTTCCTTTTATGGATTTTGTAAAAGCATTGGTTTCTGACAAGTGCAAGGTACAAAAGGTTGTGGAATTTATTAATACATATTAAGAAGAATCAGGACGATCAATAAAATTCTCATCTACATTCTTGGGCTACTTGGTAATTTTCTTGCTTCTGAAGGTTTTTAAAGAGTTATACCCGCTGTTGCCACACATGGGAAGATATTTTATTAACAAATCAATCGAGACTTTGTAAAGGATAAGATTAATAGTTAAGATTTAGCATAATGGCGTTCACTTTATGAATTATTGAAAATTATGCTATTGATTTTTCCCCTTCACTACTAACCAAGAAGGTCAATTTTTGTTTTAACACAAATTGTCAAATATTAAAAGCTATACTTTTGCCACAAGTTGAGCTTTATAGTTCTGGACAATTTCTAAAATTATGTGACACAGTTTTGCATGGGTAAAGGGAGGGAGAAAAAAAGGAGGTGGAGGAATTTAGTCCTGTTTCCTTTGGTAAGGGAAAGTTCTATAAAGAGGATCTGGTCTGGCGTTGTGGTCGAGCTCATTTAAAGAGCGACCACCATCACCACCATGGAAACTCAGTTTTATGAGGAACTTCAACAACTTCCTCCCTCACTCTGTGGTTGCAGGCGGTGAGCAGCCCTTAGGAAGCCCCAGCCTCGGGGCAGCAGCAGGGAGCTTTAACCTTGATTTCCAAAGGCTTGCCCTGGGCGAGGGGCTGGGCCAGGGCATTGGAGCCGTCCCCTGGTTTCCCAGATCCCTTTCCTGCGTCTGAGAGAGGAAAGGGGCCCCGGAAGCTCTGCTCACGAACCAGTTCTCTGTGCAGAAGGAATCCGTGTTTTCTTTTCCCCCGCAATAGCCAAGTCATGGGCTGGCCTTGGATTTCAGGCCCAGAGACTGAACTTCAGGGCAAATTAGGTTTCTGCCTCAGCAGAACATTTCTCTGGAGCCCAATGCTCATTAGAGCGCCTTAGCATTCTGGGGGACCTAGAAGCCTGCTCGTTTCTTCACAAAAATCTTTTTCAACAAACCCTTTGTCCCCCCCACACGAAAAGGAATCTTCCCTGGCCTGGTGAAAAGAGGCGCTGGACATTATTTCGGCCTTGGGACCGCTTCGCCTGTCCCCTTGCAGTGCCCTCGCCCAAACAATAACCCCTTTTAAAAAACTCCGCGGTGGCAATGAGACAGACCTTTTAAACCTTTCCGCAGCTGTTCAAATACAACATCATTGTCAGGTTAAAAGCCTGGCGCCTGTAACTGCTCTGGCTGCGGGATGCCGGCTAGTGAAGCCGGAGGTTTAAACATTACCTTTAGGCAGGAGTGGCTGTTTTTAAGATTGGGGATAGGGGGTGTGAGGAAGGCAGGGGGAAAAACACACCCAACTTTGGACTCTAGTCTGCTAAGGTCCTGTTCAGACTTAACAGCCACTGACCAGCAACCCAACAATTGCTTTCCCACAAGGTGGAAATCATGATCCTTGCCACCATTAAGCGTGCCCAGGGCTGGACGAAGTGCCCGCTGCATACTCTCGGCAGGCGCCCTGACGCCAGCCTGGTACTTCAGCACTGTTATCCCTTTGCAACGCGGCCAGGGCAGCTCCCGGAAACTCGTATGTCTAATTCCCCCTATCCCACTCTCACAGCAAGACTGTCCAATCTAATCGGGAATTTTATGCCCATCAAATGCCCTTTCATAATCTTTATTTATACATGAAGAAAACATCCAGGCAAAAAAAACAGCAATTCCTTGCAGAGGGGGTAGGTCTGTGATGAGCCAGGACAGGCAGAATTTGCTTTTTGAATTTGGAAGTCATTCTGTTTCAGCTCCCGGTGGCTTTCAAGCTCAAAGTCACCCTTCCATCACATTGGATTTGGTTTAAAGAAGGTTTTGTCTATTCACAGGGGAAAAAAAGTGTATCAGATATAATTTTTAGTCTATTTTTACAAAATTCTATTTTATTCTTTTTCACATTTCTACCTTCAGACCAGTTCCTTGAGGCCAGAGACTGGCAATATTTCAGAGAGATTTTTATCATAAAGGTCGAGCAAAATAAAAACAATTCAAGAGAACTGTCTGGGCCGGGAGGATGTAAAATTTGCCTAAGACCTTAAGGCTAGGATGAAGCAAACGGAATGAAAAGGCTGTGGCTTTTAAGGCCAGCCTTTATTTTCCTTAGGAGTATTTAATATGGCTGCATTGCTGCTGTTTTCGATCATCTTTAGATCACTTGGAGCAGTTACCATTAATAATAAATCAATATTGCACCATAAAGGAGATGAATATCCATATTTGTAGCAGGACATCCTTCTCCCTGGCACAACTCCTTCTAGAGAAAAATTAAAAAGGTCGAGTTAGCAAGAAATTAGCATTTGTATTCAAGAGGTGGTTTGCATCTGAGCTCTCCTGTCACTGGGAAGAGCAGCGACCCTGGGCCTGAGAGGATCTGGGGGCTCCTAGATTCACCCAGAATTTGGAACTTGAGTGGCCTCAGGGCAGTGCCACTCTAGGGGGCAGACTGGATGGGGACGAATTTTAAAAGCTGCTTCCCCAGGGTGCTCCTCTGAGTTGCACTGTACATGTCCCTGCTAACGAAAAGAAATCAAAGGCGAAAATAGGGAGGCTGGGGAAGCCACCACCACCACGATGAGGGGGTCTACGGGGACCAGCTAAAGGGCCGGCTGCCGAGAAGCCTCTTCCCATTGCCAACACAAAAGACTCCTATTTCCCTCTACTTCAGGATCTGAGACCACAACGACCCAGCCTCCATTGCTACCCTCCAAAGCCACACACACCCTGAACAATCAGGAGGCGCCAGATCTGTATCCCCAGGAAGTCCCGGTCCAATCCCCTGGCCTGTTTCAGGCCCATCTTGAACTCTCCCCGGAGGAAAGGACCTGCAGAGCTGAGCATTCATGGTCTGACAGTAGCTGCCAGCCAAGGCCAAGGGGCCCTGCAAGGCCATGCGTGCCCTGCTGGAGCCGCCTACAGAGAAACACAACGACATTTGGGGAGGAGAGTTCTCACCCCAAGTGGACTGAAGCCCAGGTTAGACCTAGGGAAATGTCGCTTCACAACAGCTAAACTGAACCCGCCGTCAGACAGGCGGGAGCCGGGGGTGCCCTCGGGAAACACCCACGCCTCTGGCTGGCGCCTTGCCGGGGGCTCGTGGCGCCCCAGCCACCGCTGAAGCCAATGCCAGCTCCCTGGGGTGGACCCAGGGCCTTTGGTCTAGACTGTGGAGAGAGGAGACAGAGACAGCGAAGACAACGAGGACGGCACTCATTCCAGGGGTTGCCGGCACTTCAAGGTGAACTTCGGGGAAGAAGGAACAGCCACCCTCCTTTGGAATGGTCCACGTCCGGGAGCCCTCCCTTTTGGAACCTTTCTTTTGGACCGTGGATGGTGACACAGCCGTCCCCATTGTCAGGGGCTTTGTAAAGGGGCGAACTGGGGTGGGGGTGGGTGAGCAGGGCACGCAGCAAGAAAACTGCTTCCAAGACCTGGTGCCAAAATCAAACTCTGCGGCCAAGGCCAACAGGGTGCTACGAGGGTGTCCAGAGTTCTGTCAAACGCAAAGCCCGTTTGTTTCCAATGCATTCGTCATTCCGAGACGCTTTGGAGCATAAACGTCTCCCGGACAGCCTGCCGCTTCCCGCAGCCGCGTCAGCCCAGCCTGGCCTGGGCGCCCTAACTGCCTGCGCCTCCTGTTCGCTATCACTAGCCCCGGGCGCCTGGCACGACCGGGCTGGGGGGACTCCCTCGCCCAAAACGGCCCCTTCAGTCCCAGCGCGCCTGTTTTTTTGCTGAGACCACATTCAGCTAAGTTGCCGGCGCTCTGATCAGTCTTAAACAAAAGCCTTTTAATCATCCCAGGCGGTAGGAGAGCACGCAAGGCAGACGCGGTTTTTTGGGAGGGGTTGGTCCTACCCTCCTATCCCTCTCCACACTCAAACCAAGAAAACTGATTTTCCCTAATTCAGTTAACTCTCAGTGGCATGACCTACTTCGAAGTTACACGTATTTGTCTTTTAAAAACCCTCAACACCATCAGGTTATATACCAAGGTATTCTTTGCAACAGCTTTATCTTTATAAAGGAGACAACGATTGGTAATCACTTGTTTCAGGAATCTGGGTAGTTCCCTTTTCTCTATCCTTAAACAACTTCCCCCGTCTCCTGGCTGCTTAGAACAAGCACCTTAGCGGCCGCTTGCCTGTAGTGGGCTGAGATTTCCTATTAGAATCCAGTATTGGAAAGATACGGTACCGCAGCCTCTCTGCCGAACGCGGCTTCTGGAACGTGAGCACGCCCTCGTGTGGCTCTACGAGGCCATGCAAATGGGAAATGGGATCTCTTGGTTCTGCTTGCCTAAGGTGGTGGACATACAAGCTTGCTACGTTTAGACGCAGTTAAAAAAAAAGAGGAGAGAGAAAGAAATAAACCAGTTTTACGCTCCTGGAACGATCATATTACTAGGACATTGACATTTTAACTGACGTTCAGAATTTCAAACAAAATTATTCAATTGTAGGTTTTGTATCTATTGCATCTTTCACCAAAGGCTTAGAGAAGCTTTGGAAAGCAATGCAAATATATTTTCTTTTGTTTCATATTATAGAAAGTACAATATTTTATTTGACAGGGTGGCTAATTTTTCATATATTACAAAGGTGAAGGCCTGAATAGAACTTCTACTTTCAAATGCTTGTTTTAAAACCACAGTTCTTCATTAGAGCAAAGGATACTGCTATGACCGCCCCCCCACCAAAAAAAAACACCCCCAGCATTTCCTAGCTGTATTCAAAGCATGCTGGTAGACATTTTAATCTAACCACTATTTTTAAAAAGATGTCAATTGCTGTTGAATTACAGAAATGTTTGAAGGGAAATTAAGGTTATTGATCTTGAAATGAGGAATTTGTTTAGATTTATGTGATCCCCGATATAATTCTGTGTGATTCTACCAAACCACAGATGCACCACAAGGTAAAGGCTACAAGGCATAAATCGTCAATATTCCATCCCACCAAAGACAATTGCTAAATTCATTTGCAAAAAGATACATTGTAATGTGCTTTTTTAGTTTCCCTCCCCCCAAAGCTTGTGAGTTT